TGAGCGGAAGGATGTACGGATGCGGAGGATGTGGTCTTCCGAGTATGTCCCAACTCATTTGCGACAGGCAGCACAACTCAATATAGTATGTGCTTACGCAACATGTAAGACTCGTAAAAACCGCCCACTAGGGGCGAGAGTTCCTTCATTGATAGAGTCAAAGCCTCAGAAGGTAACGTGGGCAGTTAAATGAGAACGTGTCGCTCGGTTTTAATTGTGTACAACAAAAACAGCTGCGGCAACCTTACAAGCTTTGTAGTTGCGACTCTGTTTAAGTTTTTGTCCGTGGTCAGTGCTTTTGGATAACGCCCATACAGTTACGAGTACAGTGTTATCGCTTCTTTTATGGGTCGGACTGTTGCCATGAAGTTTATCTTACTTTGGCAGCCAGGGACTGAGTGAACATGCATGTATGTTACTTATATGTGAAATTACAATAAAGAACAATAACCTGAGATTATTTCACCCGTTTCGTATTTAACCTGCCTCTGTGTTTGCCATATTTCATAGTCTTGAAAAAACATTTTTGATAATGAAGAAACTAACTTAAATTCGTTTCAAAATTAATTATCATTAATTTAAATTCACGATTTTGATGTGCGTTTTTAGTAATTACAAAATTATTTTCTATGGAACCAAATTTAATATTAATTGAATAATCTTATGATCGTTAAATGTAGGCCAGTAGATATGAAGTAGAGGAAAGGTATGTTATATATGTAGTTCGAGACCAGAAGGAGGAAGGGAACCTTTGTTGTGAGGCACAGTGAAGGGTATATACATACTTATGTTCAGCGTACATGCAATTAACTTCTTCGATTTTTTTTGATAGTTTTATACTTATTAGAGTTAAACATAAAATTAAATTCAAACCAGGGGTAAAAAGGAATTAAATAGATATAAGAGTCGCATCGTACTTTAAGGAATTTTCTTCATAATAAATAATACAGAACGACAATAATTAGGAGCGAGTATATGAGATTGCAGTTGTTTATTCTTGTATATGTTATATAATTGAACTAATAATAAGGCTGTCAAAGGAAGTCATCCGCATTATTGCAGATGTGAAGGTTCACCAATCCATACGAAAAGTACAATAAACTGCGATTTTATACAAAGAATGCAGTAAAATTACTTGATTAAACAGCTGTTTAAGGATTAATAGAGCGCACAACACCTTCTCGTCGTCAGGTAGCCGACATCGCACTTCAAGGCCAGACAAAACCCTAGGTGAAAAGTGAACATGGTTTTAGTAGCAACACCAATCACACTAATCTCTTCTCCTGTGTGCACTTCCTAATGAAGCTATCTGGCTGACTAGCGTCAGCGTATAATGAGGAACCTAGCATAGCACAGCGGGTTGGGTTTTAGGGTCTCGATTGTGGCCGAGGAAAGGTAAAAGAGTACAAATGAAATGACGCATGAAAAAAACCAAAAAACAAAACAAGCCAGAGGCAGAGGCAACAGCGGGTACAACTGTATTAAATGAAATGTCAGGCAGGCAGACTGACACAGAGGCGGACAACTTAAAAATAGAGATAAGAGCGCAATGCCTCCCGACGTAGACGTCGTCGAGCCCAAACATCTGTCAAGCTCCGCTGAGTCAACAAATAAAATGCCAGCCGTAGCATCGACAATGCGGAGAAGATCTGGAAAGGCGGGCAAGAAAAATGCAGCAGGTCGCGCGTCGTTTCGGACGTTTATTTATGGCAGCGTTCCCATTGATGAATGCGTCCATAGGGGTGTAGCCCCAGAGACGGCGGCAGAGGCCAACCAGCTGATTTCCGATTACGACGGCCTCATACTTGAGGGCAGACTTATCTTCGTTCCACGACAGCCACTGCAGCTGACATAAATTTCGAACAAATTCAAATGCAATTAATTTTATTAAATCAATAAAAGAAGTTATAAAGGAAGCACTTTTTAGTGGATTCCGAAAACAAACTTTGCTCATGAAAATTTATAGTTGACATTTTAAATTGAACAGTTTAGTTGTTTTAGTGGTTTCCATTTTATTTATGTGAGTTCCGTCTTCCTGACTGCTCTCTCTTGGTCTTCATATCTCTAATGCCGCATGCTATGATCCAAAGCAGTTGCTGAATTTTTAAACAAGGCACGCACTTTCTCTGCAGGCGTTCAGAAGCTATTATAGGTTTTTGTAGATGCTCAAGGGAGGTGTGCCGTCTAGTCTACATTGGTTGGTGAGCAAACGTTTTTAAGAAAAGGTTGAGCCCACACTATGCTAGCGTACTTAAAAGTGTAATAGTCTTAATAATAGAAGAAAAAGTATTCTTTTAATGTTTATTTTTATTTTAGTTAACCTTCTATAAATTTATATAAATTGAATTGTTTTCAAAATAATAAATAATTAAGTCATTGCTACTTGATTTGAGGCACTGGCATAAGCCGACAAACTGAGGATACTATATCTTGCTGTTAATATTTGGCGAAGAAACCATTTATAGAGTATTTTGTAATTAGAGGATCGGAGCTATTGAAAATTTGAGAACTAGCTCAGACCCAGTTGGCACATCACTAGACAGACTCGGCAACTGACCGGTTATTGAGTACCTATGAGTTCCAGGGTATGTGTGTACTTGGGCATGAGTGTATACGACACCTATTTTGCTAAAAGTACGCGCAAACAACTTAAGCGTTTCCCTAATCGCCTCACGTTTCCGGGCAAGTGCTTAGCTGGTGAGTTTCCTAGTGCACAATATGCTACCAGAACAAGAGAGGGTGTCGATGAGGGGACGGCGTGCAGCAGCACCATCACAAGGCTACAACCATGCTATCAAACTACAAAATATTCCTTGTTTTTCTTGTTGCAAGCACGTGAACTTTTATCCTTGCGTTTATAACTTGCTTATGCTATTTTTTTTTTGAGCAAAGCGCCATCAGCATTGCATGCCACACAACACACACACATGCATACGTCTGCCCCCCGACCGACTCCAGTGGATCGTCAGGCAAGCAGGCAACAATGTGCGTTACGAGCTTGAACGTGAGCTATTAGAAAATGTTTACTGGACATGTACAAGCAGCAACAGCAACAGGAACATGACACTGCCCCTATGGTTGGACGCCTCGTCCTCCACTTTATCCATTTCCTCTGACTCATCGCACCTCCAGAGCTGAATTGCGAAGTTGAGGCTCCTTTGGTCATGCTCTGCATAAAACTTCCTTTGATAGGCAAGTGTCGAGCCAGAAGGAAACAAAACTGATAAATGCCAATGAACTGTTGAAGGTAATGCAGAATATTTTCTCTGGATTTGCGTGTAAGGCATTTGAGTACAAAGCGAAAGCTGATCGGGTGGTCAAGGCCAATGCATAGGGAAGCAAAGTGCAGAAAAAAGAATACAAATTCAGTTCGATTGTCTGGAAAAGCCCCAAAAGAGAAAGAAACCCTTATAAGTATGACAAGCCCAACTGGCTAACAACTGACACCAGAGAATACAAAGATTGTTGCTTACATTGTTTAGCTCCAACCCTTCAATCGACTCTGTAAGAGCAAATAAATGAATGATTCCAAAACAAAATAATATTCCATGCACTCGTAGATGGTTTCGTGCAAGAAATTACGTTTTCGCTGATTTTTGAATATAACAATATACAGTGCATTATATACTGCATACGCTGACTTCCCCATTTACTAATTTTGTGTATGAACGCCGTCTTTTAATGAAATGCGCCAAAATGATTAATGGGCGATTTTTATTGTTGTGTGCTTTCGCTTTTGATTTTTGGCTATTTTCAGCAGCGCTGTCAAAAGAATTGGGCATTGGTAGTGTGGTATTTGAAATTTTTAATGTTAATGACTCAATAAGGTGGCTAAGAGCTCTTCAACGACTTAACCAGTTTCCAAATTAGGTGGCAAGCCAGTCACACCGAAGCCGGGGTCCATGGAACTTAGGAACGAGTATAAGAATGTGAAGATAAGTAGATACATAATAATGTATTTATATTTATAGAGGCGTGGCTTGAACACGAAAATTAAGAATTTTATTATGTATATTTTGTGTAGCTACATTTGGCCAACAACTTATTTAGCTAATGCTTGATGTTATGCTCATTTCATTAAATTTTAGTTAGCGCTTGGTCCTTTAATCATCAATATCAGAAAAATGTGCACAGCTGGCAGTTCGTAGTTGTTATTGGAAGCGTAGGCATTAAATCAAATTGCCATTTTCATAAAAATTGCAACAACAATAATCGCACGCATTAATATGCAAATTACTTGTGCCATAAATATAAATAAAACAAAATAATAGTTAAAGCATCAATAGCGCTTGTTGAAATTATGACAAAAACGTGCGGGTTTTAAATCAATAAAGGCAAAAAATAATATATTTATATCTTCTTTAAAAAAGTATTGCTCTGGGCTGGCGTCAATAAATTACAATTTGTTTATGCTCAAATGCGTGTAAATTGAAAAATAATACGAGCGTTTTTAACATTGCTAGCAACTATAAAAAATTACATGATACGTGTATTGGCAATCATTTTTTTTCGTTCCATAAATAAATCATTAATAATGGGCAGTGTTAAGCAAAAACGATTAATAGGACTGAGCCAGGGCGATGAGTGAATCAAGCAGCCATTGGTGATAAAAAGTTCACAACTTGTGGTCCGTTTTATGTGCCTTTGCTGCTGCAACCAATCCAATTTTTGGCCAGTTGTGGGGTTTCTCTTTTTTATGCTTTTAGCCAAATAATATTGCATGTAAATTTATAACGTTTGAAGCATTCTCCCATAATAAATACCTTTTATAAAGTAAAATTGAACTCTTTTTTAATATAGTTGTACTATACTCGTGGGTCTCAAATTCAAGAAATGTTTCTTAATTTTATGTCATTCTAAGGTTAGCTCATAGCTCTATTTTCACAATTCATTTTTCAATCATGTGGAAGCGATATGGATTATAGGCTTTTCTAATGGTATTAATGTAGGCTTTTTTGCCAAGAGTTTTGCCTTTCAAGAACGTATTTATTTAAATTTACCTCTCTTGTGCTTGGCGTAATGCGTCTGCTCATTGCCGGCGCAACAGGGCTGCTCGTAGTAAAAATTCCATGTATTCTCGTAATCGCAGGATATTTGCTGCACGGCACACGCAGCGAACAGCACAAACAGTGGCACCAACGCCGGCAGCTTCACCCGCATCGGTAGCATGACTCTGGATGGGATGGGTGTTAAGTGGCAACGGTTTTGCTGGTATTGGGTGCCGCTGTTGGTCCCTGTTTGGGGCCACCCTTCGGATTTGGTGGGCTTTGAGTTTTGGTTGCGTGGCGTGACGTTGCGTTGTCCGCCTGTCTGCCTCTGCCTGCCTGACCGACGAACACCAACAACCTCAATTGGATTATTGCGGCTTTTTCATGCGAACAACACACAGAAATATTGTAGTAGTTGTTGCTGGTTTTGCTCTTGGCAATTTCACTCTTTTTATACAGGACGAGTCAGTGGACACAAAAAAAGACAAACTATTTTAAATAACTGTTAACACATTTAACTTGAATTATTTTTTTATACTTTTTATGCAACATTCAATATTTTTACACTTTTGCGGCAATTTCGATGAAATTGATTTCGTAGCAGCAGCAAATGGATTTTAAATAAATTTTATTTCTTGCTCTTGTTGGCCCGCTACCCCTGCAGTAAAATTCACACACTTTTTTGCTGCAGTGCCAACAACAGCAAGAATTTATTTTTATTAATTATGCAGCCACACATACACACAATCCGATGCACATAATACACTTGATCATACATAGTTATGCATTTTTACAGTTTGGCGCTTTTGTGCTCATATAATTTTTCGACAGACCAAAATTGTTAAAATGTATGTACATATGTACATATGGACGAAAAGATGGGAAACTGAAACTGGTTTTCAGTTTTTGTATGCCCACGCATAGCACTGCAGAAACAACAAAAACAATGTAGCTTAAAAGTGCCGCAAAGCGGCCTGGGCCTGGCTTGAGGTTAGTACAAGTGTGAGCGAGATGGAGCACAATGGGTGCGCGAGTGAACAGCGCGGCAGGTAAGCAAGTCAGACTGACGAGGTTGCCAGAGAGTTGACGCTTAACGTTTCTATAGTAATTGTTGCATGTTTAATTTCACTTGAAATTTAAATGGAAATATGGATTTCTTTTACACCAATGCACTTGATATTTAATATATAAAGCATTCAATAAAAAACATCTGGCGAACACATGTTCAATATTGCAACATTCTGGCATCGCGTTATCCCATGCATTTGTATCTATCAACCTACATACATACATACATAAGTATATGTTTGTTTCTGCGTGTAAGTGCAAGAAATTATACATGTCGCATACATACATAGGTACACACTTGGTTTGTTAATAGTAATTTTTTTTTAATTTCTGTATGAGACATTATCACAAACTGGAAAATCGCTCAACCAATGTGTGATGTAGTGGATGAATGTAATTTACTTTTAAGTAATGTGGTCTGCAGCGGTAGACAAAGACAGTTTGTGAACAGCCTATATGTAAACAATTAATACACACAGAAACGCAAGAACAATAAAACGCAAACAACCGCACACACGACCACACAACAGAGCGGCAATACGATCACTGACACATACAAGCCAAATCATCGCTATCGATATCACTTCAATGCCGATTGCTGGGATAAGTGAATATCATTAAATATGAGAAATCCACCATATGGTAGCACAAGCATATCAAATGTTGAATGTAGTTTTCGGAATGCCTAAGATTATGCTATACAGTTTTAAAAATTAATCCGTAATGTTTCAACTACATAAAAAAGTATGTTTGTATATTTTTTTTTTCAAATTTAATTAATTTTTGTCCAGTATTTTTTCTTGCTTTTTTTTCTCCCCAAAAAGGTTGGTAAATATTTTTGTTCCCAAGTTCCTGTTCTGTTTTCCTCCGTGCCTTTGGTCGCTTTTAAATAAAATTATTCTTGATAAAAATTATGAAGACACGCCTTTCTTATTTTCAAACTGCTCAAATAACGAGTTGGGGCGTGATCAGAAAAACAGCTGAAAGGGCTGTCCGAACTGCTACGTATGTATGTATGATGAGAACATTCTTATCCAATATACAATATTATTATATATTTATATTAGAATAATTTAGAATTAGTTTAGAAACTTAGTAATATTTTCTTGATTTTTTAACCGTCTTCAAGCAACATTTTGAAAGTTAAATACAACAACGTACCTTTTCTTTTTATAAAAAAAAAAACCATATGAAATAATAAATTACATGATGGAACTTTCTACCAATGCAATGGACTGGGCATTGGTCATGTGGTGCAGAATTTCTGATGAGCAGTGTGCCTGAGCCTGTTCGCCAACTCGCCCGTGCTCATTCGTGCCAACAGTTTGCTCGATTTGCCGCATTTGGCCGCAAATGAAAGCCAGCTTTGCAATAAAATGCGGCAATTGTGTGAAGGCCGAGGATGCTTCCATAATTCCCAGACAGGGGGGCGGCTGCAGTTGCTGCCACACCCAACGAATGCTGAGCGCCTGGTGGAATGTTGCATCAACACCTTTTGGCCGCAGTTAGCATTGCATGCCATCACTTGGAAAATCTCGCCGGCGATATGGTCCAGAGTGCGGACTCGTACAGATTGTAGCCAGTGTTCCGCTCTGGTCTTGTGCCCCAATCCGTCCTCCTCCCCTCTCGACGGCACGTCACATGACTATTTGCAGGGACCAGTGTTGGCCAAAACACGTTTGTTAGACGAAATTGTTTCAAAACGGAAAAGTATGCAAAAATTGCAGCACGCGCCGTCTGCTTCGGTCGCATTTGTAATTGTTGTTGTTGCTGTTATTGTTCAGGCACTGCAATTGTGCGATGTCTGTGGAGACGGTGGCAACACTGGGGAGAGGAGGGTGATCCAGTTTTCAATTTGAATGCAAAGTCGTGCGGAAGCTTCACGCTCTTTGTGTCCCTTGTATGTGAAACGACAGACGTCTGACTTTAAAGTATGTCTGACAGTCTACGGCTGCATGTGTTCGTTTGTGTGTGTCTGTGTGTGTGTGTCCTTCTGCATGCATGTGTGTGTGTGTGTGTGTGTGTGTGTGTGAGTGTGCGTATACCTAATGCTCAGTGCTTAAAATGTTATTATTTTAAATGCTGCCTGCCTGCCTGCTTCTGACGACGTCAACGATGCCAGCGACGGAAAAGGCGACGGCAAAGGCGACGGCGACATAACAATTTTGAATAGAGCTCAAAATAAAAGTCATTTAGTTAAACAGACAAACGCACTCAAAATGAAAGTCTGCATTGGAGGAAATGCAGTCGGCATAGTGCGTCCCGGTCCATCCTCATGATTCCACCAACCTCCTCCCCCCAGCAAGACTCTGTCTGTGACTATAAAGGCGTGCAGACAACGGCGCCGTTTGTCTCTTTTGCTTCGTACCTTTGGGCGGCAATTAAAAACAGTTTGGCAGTCGCACAGTGGTCTCAAATTCCTATAAACCAGAAATAGTTTTAATAAACAATTAATACTCACTATTATTTCCCAATATCTTCAGCAACTATTACAGATTTCTTATTAAATGCGAACACGATTTATAGTTTCCTCATTAAAGCTTCCATTTTGCTTTTTAAAAACTATACCATAGTAATATCATAGTAATATGTAAATATGTACATATTTATGTTTGTACATAATGTCAAGAGTTTGTTTGTATTTTTCAGTCGCCAAAGGCGCTTTCAACTGTCTTTGATTAGTGAGAAAAAAACACAAAGTTTGGCAAATTAAACAACTCTTTGTATTACACTTGAAAAGTTACCGAACAAGCGGCTAACTTTGTAATCAGCTCTTCCGTATTTCTGTCTGTCAATTCTCCTTAATGAACGCAAACTTTTGAAAAAGAGAGAAGATATAAAGCCTTGCTTTTTCTTTTGAGACGTGAAATGAAGTTAAAAAAAACTATTTCAAATGATGTTTTGTGAATTGTGGATATAGAGGGTCTAAAGTATATACCTATTACCCAAAAACTAATTTGGTGTGATTGCATGAAGCACCAAGACAAAGCTGTTTTACCACCAGCTGTATGAAATGTGTGAAACATACAAAAGGATAAAGCTATTTATGATCAGCATTTGCAGACAAATTGATAAAGATATGTCTGCCTGTACGATAACATTTTAACCATGCTAGCTACATAGGCTCATTATAGCCATACGCAGATCAGGTTTATTACAAACCATAATTGCTATTTTATATGGCTTATATAGGTTCGAAACAAATAAAAGTATCGTTACTAAATGTGGCATTATGTATAGTGCCTTGTGATATTCGGGAATCGGTGGACAGTATCATATAGCTGTTATAAGAACTTGAAAACTTTTCTGTTTATTTTGGTATCACATGGTATTTATCAATGTGGTGAATAAGTTTTTGTAGTGCCGTATCTTAATCGAAGTTTTATCCAAAGCATATTGGAAAACTAAAATTTATATTATTTCGTGAAACAGAATGGAATGCTAGAGTCGAGAGACCTATCCCTTAAATATCATGTACAACATATTATGAGTATTTTTTTTTACAATTTTTAAGAATAAGTTTAATGGGTACTGATGTAAGCGTACATATGTGCACATTCAATGTCAACCATTTTCATCGGGATTGTGTCTATGTGTGCAGAACAGGGAGGAAAGAAAGCAGCAGAGCCTTGCTTCGAATTTATAAAAACCGGATAACAAATAATTGGCTCTTTTATTAAGGTTGATTCGTATAAGTATTATTTAGTTTTAAAACGTTTTTTGAGGGCCAAATCGGAGATTGAATTGGTTTCCCCGGTACCTTGCACCTTAGAGAGGTATTTGAAATCGCTGGTTCAGACCACTGTGCGACTCTGCAATTGAATATCAGTGACAAACAAAGATGTGCATGCTACCTGTTCTTTGGGGCATTTAAAAAAAAAAAAATTGAAATTGTGGTTTTGTCGTAGCAAAATATTTAATTAAAAGCTAAGCATAAACGGCTTCTACTTTGAGGCCGCACTTGCTTGCTGTTATTTAATATTTGCAATTGTCAATTGCAAGTTCTTCATTAAACCAACTAAAATGTTCCGTTTGTCTGTCTGTCTGTCTGTTTGGCTGTCTGTCTGTCTGTCTGTTTGGCTGTCTGTCTGGCTGTCTGTTTGCCTGTCTCTCCCCTATAACATTCCGAGAGCTTTCTGTTTGTTTGCCCTGCCGCTTGCTAATGAGTTTTGTCGCAGCTCGACTCATTATGCTAGGACTCTCAGGCGCACACACACACACACACACATACACACACTCATTCATACTCATGTGAGTGTGAGTGAGTGTGTGCAGTTTGTTCCTAGCGCTCAAATTGTTCACCATGATACCGTTGAAAATTTTGACATGTATGCGCATAAATACATACATACAAGTATATACGTGTATGTGACGGTACGTGTTAGTGTGTGTGAAACCGCTTTGATGTTTTTTGTAATATTTTTTTGGCAGCTCTTCAAGTGCAGCTGGCAACGTTGTTGTTGTAGTTGCTGTTTTCGGTGTTGTCCTTGTCGTCCCCATTGTTTTGGGTGTACGGCAGCAAACGTTTCTTTGCACAACGTCAACTTTCAACAAAGGATCTTAATTAAGTCCTTAATGACAGCTTAATTTAGCGAACTTTCGCACATACTCACTCACACATACACACACACACACATACACTCACTTGCACGCACAGCGAGCTACACAGACAGCCCAAAAACAACAATACGAATACAAAGAAGAGTTCACATGACAATTTCCTCTTCCTTTTTTAAGTGGGGTTCTGCTAATTGTTTTTGGTTTTGCTTATTTTTATTGTATTTATTCGGTGTCTTTTTATTTCCTTTTTGGGTAACACTCTAATTTTTTAAGTTCTGTAAAAGAATTGGGCTTTGATAGCATTTTGATTACCCAGCATATGAAAACATGAAAACTTGCTGACCAACTTTCTTGTGGTGTTGCTATTTCTATAGTTGTTGTTGTTGTTGTTTGTGTTGCCGACTCTGCAGTCGCTCATGTTGTCAGCAACGGCTGCAACTTTTATGCATTATATTAAAAGTTGAACAAATGGCAGAAGTAACAGCAACAACAACAACTATGATGGGGGCCAACAAATAGCGATAAAAACCATTTGTTGTTTTGCTGCTGATGCTGCCGCTGCCATTGCCATGGTCATTGTTGTGGTTCTCTTGATGTTGTTGTTGCTCTTTGTTATTTCTGCGCCAAACTGACTTACTCAACTTACAGCTCTCACAAAGATTTCAATGCACTTTACTGCAACTCCACGAGGCAGAAAAAACTGACCGACAACAACAACAACAACAACAGCAGCAACAAATTCAACTTCTGCAAACTGTCAGAGCAAGCAAATGGCACTAAATATTAAGTTTGCCGTTTGTAACTTGACCAACAAAAAAAAAAAAAAAAAAAAAAAAAAGAAGAGAAGTGAAGTTCTTGGGCGGGCAAAGTTGCCAAGGCAAAAATAATGAAAGCCTTGCCAGAAGCTACACTGTTAGAAAGACGAAAAACTAGTTCCCAAACAATCACGAATTTATTGTAATAGGTTGCCTTTA